CAGGAATTGAGCGTTAGGGCTGTATGCTGAAGCTGTCATACATGAAGGAATATATTTGCTCTTTTTGATGTCTGTAAAAAGGACACATGCTTTATTCCGGTAAAATCATGATTAAGTGGGGTTTTTACTAAAATTCAGATGACAAATACTGCTATTAGTCTTTCTGCAATAATAATTGGAGTGGACTTAACATTTCAGTGTTGCTGAATTTAAATGTTAATGTACAGTGCTTATGCTGATTCCTTAAGTGGTCCCTGTGAAGTAGATAGTATTTTATCTTAGCACCTGTGGGAGTACCTTGCTAAAGTTGGTTGGCTATTATTTGGGTTCTTTAAATAAACGTACTGTTTCGGTTTAGAGGGAGCAATAGAGGAAAATACTATTTTATGGAAGTTCATAAAACATATTGATTAGCAATGTGATTGAATGTCTTTGACTCACTTAGAAGTCTCTAGGAAATATTTCCTCAATTCTGAAAGTATATATTTGAATGCTTAATATGGAAGTTTATCTGAATACCTATTAATGCTTTCTAGATACATTAATTACAGAATGGCTGGGGGAAAAAATCTATTAAAAGGTTTCTTCAGCCTATTTTAATACATAGTGTAGACAGGTACATTGTAAGAACTGGGAACAATGTGAAAAAATTGGGGAGAAGAAAGTATCAGAGAATAACAGCTGATTTTCTGTAAGTGAAATCAGACTTCTTTGAGAGGACCTCATGTCAAAACGGTTATGAGAGCATTAATAATTAATTTGTGTAGCCTTGCTCTGTGGATTTGGAATTTCAGTCTAGAAGTAGCCTTCGTTCCTCCGTGCTGATGGAAGAATCTAGAATTAAAAACTGGAGTGTCACATGTGATTTTCAATACTTCTGACAGCTGAAACAATGAATTCATATAATAGCTCCTCAATTTTATATGCACTAGTACTATCTGTTGCATTCCAGTTACATGAGTTAACCATGAAAAATAGGGAAATGGAACTGTTTTAGGAGAGCTGAGGAAAGTTGATTGGAATTCTTTCATGTGGATTATTTTTCCCAGGTTTGTTTGGATTTTCCTGGTGAATAAATACGGAGAATAAATACGAAATCTCTTCAGAACAACCGGAGAAGGAAATACTTTTGCACAGTTCATAATTCATTAGTCACTAATCACCACACGGTGCAACTGAGGCTAAGAATAAAAGTGGAGAGGAATACCCAGTTACATGATCCTCTGTAACGGAAGAGGTTATATCTTTTCCACAAAAAAACCCAAAAAACACAGAATAGGGAAAACGAAACTCTTCACTGCTTGAATTGACAGCTCTGTCTTGGGTTATTTGCATCCTTCCATAAAGCATCTGTTACTGGCTGCTAAGGCAGAATATTAGATTAGAGTGGTCTCCTGTATAACTCCATCTGACAACTCCTGCTCTGTAATGTTACAGTGTTCGGGTTCATTTTACATGTTCATGCCTTTGTCTGCAAGAACTTTGTAACCCGGTCCTCCAGGGAAACCGGTTCTTCAAAACACACTGCTTCTGCAGCAGAGATGTAGTTAGGTGATTTCAGTATGCCTCAGAAGAAACATCAACATTTCAGTTTGAATATTCCGAGTGCCTTTTTTTAAATTTATGTCTATCTTGCTGCTGATGGTATTTAATTTTTAATATAGGGGGATGCATCAGGAAGGGGAAGGTTTAGTTTTAATTTATCTTAGAAGCAGTTGTGAGAACACTCTGATGCAGGAGTCGAGGGGAATACCAATAGCTGTTTTTCTAGTGGTATTTTTTTCTCTGTGTTCTGCAAATTTTGTCCTTATTGTTTTTAAAAAAAGACCTTAAACTCTGCTAAACTTTCTTGGGCTTTTGTGTAGCACTTACCAAGCATTTGTTCTGCTTTAACCTAAACTTTTACAGTTCTCCTTGGTTGCATGGGTGTAATGATAGTCTTAGGTTGACATTTTTCATACATTGTGTAAACCTTACGTGTTCTCAGTTACTAAGGTTAGGGTTTTTAATCCTTTCCTAATTTCCAAAGTAGCATCTTTATCAAATAATCATTTCATACCCCTCATCAGTAAAATTAAGAAAATCCATATGTTGGAAGGATTTGTCATTTGCAACTCTATTGATACTAGCTTTTTTCCCCACTGTATACAACTCGGTAGGCAGTGATGTCTGTTGTAAAGCAGTGACACTTGGACTGCTGCCGTGTGCCCTCTCTGTGCTTAGCCTGGTGATGTCTCACAGATTTGAGATTATGCTTTCACTTATGCCTTCCCTTTTTGTTCTGCGTTCTCAGGAGTGGACATAATGTTGCAGCTTGGAAGATGTTAGCACACTGGTTTCTGTATTATTGCTTTCTCTTCCCCTCAAAAGTTTACAGGATAGGATAGTGTATGTCGCACAGTGTGCATGCAGCACGAGAAAATTCTGACCTAGGAGCAGCCCTGGCATGCTATCATAATATAAAAAGATAATGAGCAGCACTGGTGATGATATGTAGTGAATGAGCGGGTGTGATGGAATATTCAGCACAGACTTAAATCAGACTAACTCCACCCATTCTGCTCCAAACCACTCAGGAAAATCAATTTGGTAGTCTTGAACAGAAGCTTAATACAGTGGGATATTGAATCTGGCTGTTTTTTTTTCTGACTCTCAGGGTTTTTTTATATTATAGGACTACAAAGCTGATGAAGACCCTGCATTATTCCAGTCGGTTAAGACGAAGAGAGGACCATTGGGGCCAAATTGGAAGGTACTAAGAACTGATGTTACAACCTTAGGAAGTCTTTATCAGCAGAAAAAAAAGTTCACGGTGCCTTAAAGACTAGCATTAGCAATGTTATTCTTAAAACAGAGGGCAGAAATTAACTACTACTTTTCTTTTTTGTATTCAGTTAAAATTTCAAATGTGTTAGTAAGCAAAAGCACTGTGTGCTACTTTTTTAATAACACTACTAAAAACAAAGCTATGCAAATGAAATTGGATTAATGTTATCCTTACTCACGATTGACATCTGAATATACATTACAGTGAATTCCATGTAAGTCATCAGCCTGCTGTGGTAGCCACTGGAGGTAACTTAAAATGCAAAAAATTAGTTGGAAACTTCCTTACGTTTAAATGGTTATAACTCTGTTTCTTAGAGCAGGGTAAAAGATAGTACATGTGCACGTTTTATTTAGAATTACCAAAAAACTTGCAGAAGATAGTGGCAACTAAATCTAAGCCTGTCTTCACCTTGCCATATCGAATATCTAGGTATTTTTCACTTGTGTGGTATGTATACAAAATGCACATGAAAACCTCCAGTATTTCATCATAAATATTTTCCCTCAGTGAAATAATACACGCTGTTTGCATTTGTGCATGTGTGTGCGCATGCATGCACAGATGCATCTGCTATGTTCTTGAAATTTTCAGTCTGGAGTATGTAATTTGAGTTGGTTTGGGAAATAAGTTTTCCACATTCTTTTGTCACTTACCAGTTTTCTAATAAACACAATTGTGTAACCACGGGAAGGTGATTTGATCAAAACTTTATTTCAAGGTAAAGCCATCTGGCCTTTTACCAGGGCTGCAGTTACCCAAGCCTGTATACTGGAAATTTTGTTTGAAGTTCATTATGCAGGCTGCTTGCTTAACATCATCTCCTCCTCCATCCTCAAGTTTGACCAAAAATTTAGTGTTTCAGATTTCCATGATGTCCTTACTGGGTAAGTCTATTTTAATGTGAGACATTACATTCCATGAAAGCTCTTCAATATTAGTATTACCTTTCTGCATGAACACATTATGGAGTTACTCTTATGTGGCTCTCAGTATAACTGCAGCGTGAAAGCTTAGCGATTAGTCATGTCCAGTATGAATTTGCTTTGCTTACATATTCATCTACAAGAAAGTTGTGCTTGAGAACTGACTCCTTAGTAGGCAGCATAAGTACTGGTGCAGAATATGTCAGTGTCAGATTATGTATGTCACCCCTATATACACGCCTTTGGAATGCCTGTATACTTAACAATTGAGCCTAAACAGTTGCAGCATGCGTAAAGATGATCCTATCTTGAAATAACTTTTCACAGAGTCTTTTGCCTGAGGTCCTCTTCCATTTCCTCCAGAACCTTGCTCTACACAAATTCAGAAACAAATTTCCTGTGGACCAGCATATACCGCATGGAACCCAACAATACCTGAACAGCAACGCAAAACTTGTCAACACATCCGTGCCCCAGTCACAAAACACATCCTTCCACAGCCACCAAAATTCACGTATATATGCCCATCCCAGAAGGAAATATACTTTGTCTGCTACACCAGATATCCTCATAGAACCTGAGAAGCTAGCTGTTGTATACTAAAATGGATATACAGGCAATTTGTTAGGAGTAGGCCCTTAGTTACCAATTAGAATATAGTTTTTCACTTTTGTCATTACCGTGAATGAACGGTCTCATTAACAATAGCATCATTTTACTTCTTATGTTTAGTCTGCACTGTGATGAATTATGCTTAAGTAAATGCTGAGGTTTTTTTAAATGTATTGCAAATGATGCCCCGGTTTCTTAAATTTTCTTGTAAAAGCATTCAGTTTTTCATTACCTAAAAAAGTTATAAATACAGCATGAATGTTTCTGTCCAAATACAGTGTGAAAGATGTGCTCCGAGAGGTGTGAATTTTCTTCTCCTTCACTAGCTTAGATGTCACCGTTAGTTTTTTTGCAACGCAACAAGATGAGCATCAGGTATTAGAGTAGGATGCATGGGACCAGCAAGCTCTCGGTCTCTAATTTCCTATCCTAAAACGTGGTTGTGCAAGCAGAAAGTAGGCAGAAGATACACCAACTTTCTGCTATCAGCTTGACCTGGGTCTTAAGTGTCAAATGACTGACCTCTGTCTGACATGTCTGACAGAGCAGAGTCCCTATTTCCCACTGCATTGTATCACACTTGTTCTCAGCTGGCCTGAGATCATAAATTGAAGCAGCCTGAACTCGAGGACTTAAAGTGTCTCTTGTCCCACTGTGGACTGAGGCTGTAGTTCCAGGGGCATGTTCATGTAGTGCTGACTATTCACTCCTCTACTTTCATATGTGCTGGTACAGTGGTTTTAATGCTGCATGGCATTAACCTAAGGAAAAAAGTAGGGAACCAGGTTTTTGTGAAAGGATGGGAAACAATATGGCAGCACAGGAGCTATAACAGGACCACTGAAAGTTTCAGTAGAGCGGAAGGAGCGTGGGCTGCTGACCCTGACACTTCACTGCCGTTAAGCTGCATTACCAGAAGAAAAGCGTGCGAATCTACCTCTTGGGTGCTCTGCATACTTCAGTTTGTCTTAATGAGAGCTGAGGGTACAGTTGATGTATGTATGGTGCTGCCATAGCTGTTCCTAGTGTTGTCTTTTCAACATGATGAAAAGTCATCCTGTGACAGTCCAATTGTATGGACATAAAAATAATGTGAAATTCCATCTGAACACCAGAAAACACTTTTTTACTGTGAGGTGCTCAAACACTGGAACAGGTTGCCCAGAGAGGTTGTGGAGTCTCCATCCATGGAAATACTCAAAACCTGACTGGACATGGTCCTGGCAACCTGCTGTAGGTGACTCTTCTTGAGCAGGGCTCCTGCATGTGGTGATCAGAGAAGGTCCCTTCCAACCTCAGCAATCCTGTGATTTTACAATCTACACATACCTACAGAGTCTTAATTCTTCCCTTTGTGTGTCCCAAGACAGAAAATAGCCCTGCTTCAGAAAGTTTGTGAGCTTATAAGTAGGTGGAGATTGGTAGAGTTTCTAAGTGAATTATCAATATTTTCTTCCTTGGGTTTTATATTTTTACATAGGTTTCTGCCATCGGCTGCTGTCAAAATACTGAGACAGGTAGACCTTTAGTCTGACTTGCAGGTTTGTCCTGGGCCCGAGCATTAGCTAGAATCTCATGGAAAAACGAGTATATTGCATGTTTCGAGATGGTGATGAGGGGACTCATGTATCCAGACTCCCAATATTGTAATACTCTTTCTACCTGGGCTAAGTATTCTTGCTAGCAGGGTAAAATTGTCACAGGGATTATTTTTGGAAACCGTGCTGAAAACGTGTGTCCTGCCTTAAGATGTTTGTTCTCCTTCCTCCTCAGGAGGGAAGCAGGAGGCTGATGCAGAAATGGCCTGTTCAGGCCTCTGTGACCTAAAGAAAGTGGGGAGTTACTGGTTTGTTTTTTAAAAATAGCTGTAAAATGAGGAGGAGAACTTTGAATGCCTGGAACTGGCAGCACTGAATTTGTGTGTTCCATTTAGTTACTAATACATGGATATAGACTTGTGCTCTTTGGGAACACCAAACAGTAGCAGTTTTTTTTTCTCTCATGAATAGAACATCAGTGTTCTGATGATAATTGGTTTTCATTTAAGTAGTCTCTGGTGATAAGTATTTGTAATAGAAATTCTGTTTAAGTAAATATGCATTATTCACCAAGATTTCTAGATGTGTTAGATATACCTCGCAGTAAATCTTTTTACTGTGTGCATGACCAACAGGAGTTGTCCATTTCATTGTTGAAAGGAATCTAGTTTTAAAATGCTGTAAAGTATTTCTACTTAGAAATTTGTTGTGGATATAAAGAATAAAAATCTGTGGGCTTCTTCTAGTAATTGCTTGTTATTCAAGGCAAACCACAGATTTATGTTTTTTTAATATATATATTTTTAAGTGAGTATCTGCTTCCTTTTTTGTGTTTGTTTTGTTTCAGGTTTTTTGTGGGAGTGTTTTTTTGTCCTTCCTTATTTTTTCTTCCTTTTTTACAAGGCTTGGAGTAACCTAACATGCTTTGTTAAACTAAAAATATGATATGGTCTCATATTATGTAAATTTGACTGCATGAATTGTAGAAAAATGATGTGTATGATGTTAACAGGTACTTCAAAATTGTTTGATGTAGGAACTATAACAGAATCCTAGGAATTATAGGAAATGGTGGTGGATGTCTCCTGAATTTACCTCACTTCATTCTTCTTGGGATCCTTCTTTTGCACAAAGTCCTTGAGCTAGAGCTGCTTTCCAAGCAGTCTTTGAAGTGGAGCTTTAGTTTGTCTTAAGGCCACCTACTGCTATTGATGATAAAGAAGTGTTTTTCTCATAGTAGCAGTCAGAAAGTCTGTAATTCATTATGTGAAAATGAATATGTAAATTATGCCCCACAGCTAGAAATTACCTCTACACCTGGGTAAGACGTATCCTTCTGGCATTGTCTGCAGGAGAGGGATGCGAGGGGGAGAGGAAGAGGGGAGACCATGCCAGTGTCTGCATGGGCAGAGCAGAACTGCAGCAAGCTTAAGTTTTACGCTTTTGTGAGAAGCAAACTTGCGGGGTGGTTATGCACTTTTTGTTATCTGAATCTTTTCTAGTATCTATGTTTTCCACCCTTGTACTGAGCAACTTGATACAACTCAGTGTTGCACAATAGACCAAAAAGTAAGAAACAATTTGGTGCTAGCTATTATAATCAAGCTTCATTGTCCTTTCAAAATGTCAGAAAGTGTATTACAGTGGAAGTAATGAAAATTAAATCCATGTTAAGACTAAGATTTACAGTATATGTTTGCAGCATGGATGGAATTGTCTTACAGATTCAACCTGATTGTTTGTTAATCCCTATTACCCTATGTTCAGAGTACAGTGCTAAGTATTTACTAATATTTAGAGTTCTAAGTATTATGATAAGTTTAATTATACTCAGAATTATAATTTATAATCGTTATAATTTAAATAAATTAATTTACTGTAAATCAATTGCATTTATAATTCTACTCTAATACTTACAATTGTAATTTATAATAATTAAATTAATTTAACTGAAGTAATCTTTAAAAAATTAAAAATTCTCTCCCATTATCCGTAAACAGAAAGAGCTAGCAACTGATGAAGAGTGTCCTAAAATGTGTGCTTACAAGCTGGTGACTATCAAATTTAAATGGTGGGGATTGCAGAACAAAGTTGAAAACTTTATACAAAAGGTAAGTGCTTCTCCGTTGTTGGGATGTTGGTAGGGAGGTGGAATTGGAGGGCAGGTAGGTAGGCAGGATGGTTCTGTGTTGACTTGAGGGGTTTTTGAGGAGCAAGAGTGATGAAGTTTCCTGTTGCTTACGGTCAAGCAACTTCTGTTCATTTCTTCAGCAAGTACAGCCATTTCTGTCTTGGATCTACTAGCGGTGGTGTTTTGCTGGTGGTACTAGAATAACTTTCTAAGTTAAAAAAACAAAAGTATAAGTGTGGAGTCTGTGTTATGTAGGTTTAACACTCGATTTTGTAAGCAACAACACTTGCCAGGAAAAGAGTTCTTTGATTCTTTTTTTTTCTCATAAGTTGAAAGTTGCATAAAACATGTGCTGGTGTTTCTCTAGTATTTTATGTTCTAGTTTTCTTATGAAACTGTTCTTGTGTTTCTGCTAATTCTAAAGTTGTTTGTTTTTTTTTTAATTGAACACTTGCAAAACCAGGTATGACGCAGGTAGAATCCAGTGCACTAGGATTTATTTGGTGGTTGTGGTGTTTTGTCAAATTATGCTTGCGTCTTATTCCATTACTACTGTATTATCAGGATATGAATTGTAAAATTTTTTTTTTAAAGTATGACTGAATATTTAGAATGTAAACTTACGTGTAGGCAAAGTGTTTAATCTAGACCATCATGCTAGTTCTTTCCAATCCAGACAAAATGTGCTGTAACAATAAGTTAACCAAAACATGATATTCCAGCAACAATTGTGCATGGTGTTTCCTCACAGACAACCAACACTAGACCTTTTACATTGTGGTAACTAGGGCCCTTAGCTCTGAGTGGACCACATAGCTAACTGCATGAAATGTTCATGAATTTCAATGTGATAGCAAAAGAGAAAAGCTTCAAACAATAGTAATTGAGAATGAGATGCAGAGAGTAGCTTGTGATGGCCACAGTACAAAGTAAGGGTAAGGAGACATGGGAGACTGTCTTTAGTGTGGTGGTGGTTTTGGGAAACAGTTGCCCATCACACATTTCAAACGGAACAGTGTTAGGGAATAAGCTGAGCAGAAGAGCCAAGGCTGGTTCTGTGGTCTGATGTATTTGAAGATATGAGGGGTTTTTTTAGCCTTGCTTCACCTGAAGCTGATTCTTCAGCAGAAGTTCTCTCTCTCTGCTAGTTGTTGAGAACCATATGTTAGATTGATTAGCATTGTTTTTGAAGACAGTCAGCATCTTGAGCGATGCAAAATCTGAGAGCAGATGAACAAGACGTAATTCAATACATGCAGAAGTCCAAGTTTTAGTAGTAAAATAGATTTCTGTGTTGTATATACACAACTACTTTTATCAGAGCAGTCAGAAGCAATACTGGTAATTCTGCCAATTGATTGGTTTGTATGATGCATCTTTCATCATCCAAGTCACCATTATAAAAGTTGAGATTCCAAGGCACTAAAGATGAACTGAACTGTCAAGTCGCAGTTCTTCAACATAATACAGTGGGGTTTTGGGGACGGCAGGTGTTTTGAAATGTAAAACCTACGCGTTTAAGTAGAAGAGGTACAGTGAAAATATTCTTACTGTGATTGATTGTCATAGTTTAGCCCCAGACAGCAATTAAGCACCATGCAGGCGCTCACTCACTCACTCCCCCGTGCCCCAGTGGGACAGGGGATAAAATGGGAAAAACTCGTGGGTTGAGATAAAAACAGTTTAATAGGACAGCCAAAACCAGGACATCAATTCAGAACACAGATATGCATACTTTAATGAAAGGGCTGTGGAATCCTTAGCTTGAATATTTGTACTCTCAAGGTTTTTGTACCTTTGAAACTGCATGTCAGATATTACTGGGATGCTAATTTGGTACAAATTGCAAGTGTGCCATCTTTGGAGTCAGAAACACTTCCCTTTGTGCTTCATTCTGGCTTTAGGAATTGGCCATTCTTCGTTTTTTTAACAATGAGCACAGAACGTGCAACAGCTCTGTTGTAGATTTTTTTTGTACAGTTCATGCTAAATATTCTAGCTGTTGTGATGCTACGTTTATTCTGTCTAGTGCTATCTTGGAGAGCTAGAACAGATTTTAAAAGGATTCTTCAGCATTTTGAAGTAACTTGAATTGATGAACTTTCTTGAGACTTTTTTGATAGTGAAATTTGTTCTTTTTTTTCCCCCCATGTTAAAACATGTGAGAAATGAGATGATTTTAAATTGGATTCAGGAATGTGAGGGGGCTGAACCTGTAGCAGTGTGAAATAGCATGCTCCTAAAAATTATAAATTGAACAGCTGAGATCACTTCACCAGTCTTTGGCAAAATGTAGACCTATTATCTAATGCTTGTTTATCTTCTTAAAGCAAGAAAAAAGGATATTTACCAACTTTCATCGCCAGCTGTTCTGTTGGATTGACAAGTGGATTGATCTGACTATGGAAGACATTAGGAGAATGGAGGATGAAACCCAAAAGGAGCTGGAAGCGGTAAGCTTTTTTTAAGTTGATGTTTGTGTGCTATCTAGATTTACCTGCTTGGGAATTGACGCTAGTTATGTTGTGTCCATGCCTTTTTGTGTGTTTGGGCAATTGCTGGTGAGCATTACAGCCCCTTTAGTGATTCTCCTGTGCAGACCCATGCAATTCAAGCTTCTGCATACTGTGTTGTGTCAAGCTGGAAGTGGCTGTAAGGTAAATATTTCTGATGTCACTAAATCCAGAATGTCTGCTCTGACCACCTCTTTGTTTATGGTACCATACCCGTTGCACAAATCCCATTCAGTGCCTTTTTACCACTTGTCAGTTAGAATTCAGAGCTCTCATCTTTCTTTTCCATCATGAGTCTTGCTTTGTTTCGTTTCTAATCATCATTAGAGCTGATTACTTTTTCCTCTTCAAACATGTAGCCTGGCCTGTATCAGCACTAGTGTGGCCAACAGGAGCAGGGCAGGGATCATGCCCCTGGACTCGGCACTGGTGAGGCCGCACCTCGAATCCTGTGTTCAGTGTTGGGCCCCTCACGCCAAGAAGGACGTTGAGGTGCTGGAGCGTGTCCAGAGAAGGGCAACGAAGCTGGTGAGGGGGCTGGAGCACAAGTCTGACGAGGAACGGCTGAGGGAACTGAGGGTGTTCAGTCTGGAGAAGAGGAGGCTGAGGGGAGACCTTATCGCTCTCTACAACTACCTGAAAGGGGGTTGTGGTGAGGTGGGTGTTGGTCTCTTCTCCCAGGCAACTAGTGATAGGACAACATGGCCTCAAGTTGCGCCAGGGGAGGTTTAGATTAGATATTAGGAAAAATTTCTTCACTTGAAAGAGTGGCCAAGCATTGGAACAGGCTGCCCAGGGAGGTGGTGGAGTCACCATCTCTGGAAGTGTTCAAAAAACGTGTGGATGTGGCGCTTCAGTACATGGTTTAGGGGGCATGGTGGTGTTGGGTTGATGGTTGGACTTGATGATCTTAAAGGTCTTTTCCAACCTTAATGATTCTGTGGTTCTGTGATGTCTTCAAGCAAGCTTGAGTATGTCACATGACAGCTGTTCCACTCATCCTGATTAGCACACCAAAACTGAGAATTTTAAATTGTAAGAAGGAAGTCAGTAAAATTAAGGGGCTTGAGATAGTATCCATTTCCATGCTTTAGTGGCTGAGAGGACCAAATACCTATAGCCTAATCTGTCTTTGGACTGATGTCTAGAAGGAAACTCATCCATAGGGCACCTTGTCTGCTCTTTCCTTTAAGAGGTAGAGGGACATCACAGGCTAGGCAGGAAGCATTCTTCTGTAGTGTCTTTCCAGAGCATGACCTTTGGCATGAACCTTTCTCATTATAAGTCCTGCTGTTTTTTTAAGTTCTTTGCAGTCTTTGGATTTGCAATTCTATTTCCTTCCTGGTTTGCCAATTGCTTTATGCCCCAAACCCTTTCCTTCCATTGTCTTGGTTCTTTCAAGACACAATATGTCTTCAGCTATAACGTGCTTTTTTGCACAGTTTAAGTCATTTAGGCTGCCAGACATCTTTAAACAGATTGCCAGGTGCTTTAGACCTACTGTTGAGAGTGGTTCTGAAGTGCATTTTGTGGTTTGTGCCCAGCACATCTTTTCTTTTAGTATCAAAACTAGCTGTAGCGTCTCCATCCCCGCTTGTTATGCTCTCCATGTTTGGACTTTATGAACTGTGTGGAGCCATCTTGCATTGTGTAGAGATGTTTTCTGGATTTGGAAGAAGTGTTTCTTCACTGTTCTGCATGTTAATAGGTAGATGTTCTGAGCTGGTAAAACCAAACTTTCTTTTCAAATAAGCTGAAGGCTTTGTCAGTTCCCAGGATATGCTTTAGAAAAGAACGATGTTCACTCGCTCTTTCAAACCTTGTGCTCTCTCATTGGCATTTGGATATTTTTGATTATGGCAGGTGTTCTCTCAAATCACATGGATTTCTTCTTGAGTTCTACTTTATGCCAGAACCTATTCCTAGAGCCACCTATTTCTAGGTGTCTGTGAAGGAGGAAGAGTAACCACTTTCCTCTCTATAACTGATTTTTGTCAGAAGCGTTTTCTTTTGCACACCCATAGTTCTTTATTTGGAATGAAACGGACTTCGTCCAATTTATCTGAGAAAGGATAGTGGCAGTGTGGGGAGTGCATACAAGGTATGTACTGGAGAGACTAAGCAGCAGTTGACGCATCTGTGTGCATGAGAAAATTTCCCTCTTGTGTCTCTGTGGACCGTGGATGTTTGTCTTGTAGAGAAAGTTCTGTTTCACATTTCTCACTGGTAAGTAACTACTTTTAAATACTTTTTGCAAAATATTTGCTGCTTTTTAGTTCTTACCTAAGCAAAACCCAGATCACGTGTTTCTGGGTGTAACATTTATCCTTGTTCTTAAATATTAAACATTTATTTGCTATTTTATTGTTTTGCAAAACAATGCAAATAGTTTATTTCAAATAGCTTGTTGTGTAAGACTTTAGCATTAGGAACTTAAGTGTATTACTTGTTCAAAAAGTCAGTTTTTCACAAGATAAATGTATTGATTAGTTACACTAACACAGCTTTTCCACGTGTATTGTGAAATGTGAAAGGAGCGGGGACCTACTGTTAAAATACTTGTTTTTTTCTCAACTGTTATAATAGGGGTATCTACAAACACCTATAAATGATGCAATTTCAAGGTTTTTGTGATGAAATACATTATTGGAGAATAACCTAAAGGCAAAAATGTCACTGCCAAATAAAATATGAATGCCAATTTTATCCCAAATAATTTGGTTTTATGTTTCATAGTCAACTGCTTCATCCATTGTGTTAAACAGTAACTTTCATTAAATCCCAAGTATACCACAAAACTTCTGTTTCATGGCAGGGACCACTGGGAAGTGAGCATGTACTGATAAGGTGCTTAATATGACAAGAATGTCTTCATGCTTCCATCCGTGCAGAGTAGTCGTCAGCTTTTTTGAGTGTGTTGCACTGTGCAGTTCTATGATGCTTAAAAACAAACAACGGCAGAAAGCAAGCCTAATAATACTGGCAGCATTACATTTTCTTACATGCATTGCTTTCTGTTGCTATTCCCTTTCTCATTAACACCCTTTCTTCCTGGTCTGAGCTAATCTTTCTCTTCGGATTCTGTGCACATTTCGGTTCTTTGTTGGTCCTGTTCTCCATCTTAAGTCGATTTTTATAGTCAGGATCTCTGCGTTTGTTACTTTTTTTGTTACTCTCTGAATCTTCATCAGTGTTCTTCCAGAGTTTCTTTATCCCAGCCCATCTTTTTCTCACTATTTTTCTTTCTCTTTCACTTACTGGTTTATGTATCTATCTCCTGGAGATGAGGAGCACCTGTACTTCATTAAATACACATCAGCTAATCGGTCCATGGTAGAAAAGCATCTGACCCTGCCAAAGCACTGTGACTGGCCTACCTCATGTCTTTGTGAGGGTAGAGATGCCACATTGGGTATTTCTAGCAGCGTGGCTCCATGCTGAAGCATCACGGGCTGTTAAAAATCTAAGAAGCATCATTTACAGCTGCTGTACAGTTCCCAGGCTTCCCCACCAAAAAGAAACTGTATACCCCTGTCTCCAAAAACCCTCAGCTGCGGCTGAGGCTGGTTCTGGTCCTGGCCAGGGAGAAGCAATCCTAGTCATGTAGAGCGTTACTTCTCTCTTACTAACCAACAGTGCAATAGGTTCTTTATGTGGTAGCTCACAGTTTTATTTTACGTTTAGATGCGTAAGAAGGGTTCCGTTCGAGGCACTTTGGCTGCTGACGTCTAGAGGAGTTCTCTGTAGGTTCTGAGGCAAATCAAGCTGTGTAAGTCAACTGCTGGATGGAAAAGGAGAAAAGTGATTAATGTTCTGATGGATGGGAATGGCTGGCAGAATAAGTGGACATACACCCAGATAACACTTCTGGGCCTTACCTCCCTCCTGTTTGATGACCTTGTCATCAACATTTGGAGATGACCTTTGGTGTCCAGGGTGCATAAGAGACCTCCTCCCCAGTCAGGCACTGTAATAGGCTGGGCAGGTGCTCAGGTAGGGTGGCAGAATGCCTGAGGCATTGGCCACGTAACCTGGTTCTTCGTGCTTACCTAGCACAGAAACCCAAAGTGTGTGACCTGTTGTCATCACTGTGCTGGCACTGCGTGCTGAAGCCTGCAATTAGTCTTCTGGCACAAATCAGAAAAGTAAAAAGTATAATTTTGCTATGCGCTGTGTAGCAAAGTGATATGTGGACTTAGTCCACATAATTTAGGGAAACTGTGGACTGTCACCTTCAAAGCTTCTAAAGTTCTTGAAATCCAGTTCCATGCAGGTATTCGTAAATACTAAATTGTGTTAAAACTGTTACTGTGGGAAACAGGTTGTCCAAGAGTTGCAAGCTTTTGAGTATTTGCGTCCAGTACTTTAACGTTGGTGTTTCCCACTGTGACTGTTTTAATACTGCAGATGGGATGCCCAGCCAAAGCAGTTTTAAAATCCTGCTGATTAGCATGAGGCTCCTCAGAGACTGGCTCCACCAGTGAGGACAGCACCCAAATTAAGATTCCCTGACAAGTCTTGCATTGCTTTGGTACAACTTGCTCAGTCCCAGTGATGTTTTGGCTGCCCTGCCCTATTTTTCTTGGAGATTAATAAAACTGCCTATTTGGAACTTACTGTTTGAGGAAACTATTAATGCTTAATTGTGTATTTTCTTTCTCCACAGTTACGTAATCAAGGCCAAGTCAGAGGAACAAGTGCTGCCAATGATGAATGATGATGGATTTAACCATCTCATGCAGTGTTGATATACAAATGTGTGTGTGGATGCATGATTATTTGTATATAATTATATATACGCACATGCATACTGAAGGGGGTTGTTACAGTGTCTCCAGGGTACTATACCTGTCCTCAGCAAAGATTCAAAGGAAACTGCTTTCAATATGTATACCTGAAGCAAATAAAAATCAACTGAGTAGTGTCATTTAAAGGATGAATTAACTGCAGAATTATGCTAACTGGTATGTTTCATGAATGTCAATACTGGACCAATTTATTCCCTACTTGTTTTTTTCCTGTCTTGAGTCACTCTGCTATAACTTGCCCATATCTCATTGTAAAGAAACAGATTCCAATAAGTTAATTTCAGTTTTGTGTCTTCCCTATGTGATTATTTTTGGAGTAGGAACAATGAATGTATTTATAGCTATTTATTTCTGGATTGTCATTATCCTATAGTCAAATCAGAAAAAAACTTCTATTACTGGAAATTGGAAGACTTTTACTGTTGAATAAGTTTAGCCCAGACTTTACCCATTCACTGATTTAAAAGAAAAAAATCATGTTTTATTGGACTTTTGTACATTGAAATGCTAATGTTTTTTCTTCATTAAAATTGGCAAGATTAAGGAAAAATGGCTTGTGATTTATAAAGTAATTGCAACTTGAAATTTTCCAGAAGCTGACTTTTTAGACAAAGATACTGACAATACGTGTAGAATATTTCAAGTATATCTTAGGCTGTGCAGTGAAAGTGAAGGGGGGTGATAGCCCTTTCCCGAAGTAATACTTCCTGTTAATGCAATTGCTGTTTTCCAGAGTTTCACTTTGGAAGCTATGGTCTTGATTTCACACACATTACGCAATGGAATATAATTGTGATTTTAGCTCTTTTCATGTTGAAAATACACTTTGAGAGATGTATACTTTCAGATATGATGAAAGTTTAAATTGTAGCATCTGACATATTTCTCTGATATTTGTTAGAGTAGACACATAAAAGAAAAGATGGTATAATAATGACCTGTAGATAACTCTCAAATAGGGAAAATGTCTTCAGCATTTTTTAAGGAAATAGAGCATATCGTAGATATATATTATCAAAATGCTTGCTAGATCAGAAACAAATTATTTTAAAAACACTAGTTAGATAAGGTTCTTTTAATGCCTCGTTTCCTCCCCAGAAGCCTCAGTGGGGCAAGCCTTGCTTAAGCTTCCATCTTCATAATCTCACATGCATCCCGCGTATTTTGGAATCATTTTGGACCTACCTTGCTTACAAAAGGAGTGATCTGATTCCTGTTACGGGCAGTGACAAAATTTTCCTAAGCTTCCAGGGTGGGCCAGGTCTGATGTGTGACTTGCCCTGCCGGTGCTCCTGTCTGCTGCGCGTGCCAGGCACCGATGTTCTGCCAGGGTGTGGGCATTTGTACCTCTCTCCTGTGTAATTTCACCCTCCTACGCTCACTGCTGCAAAATTTTTTTTTTCTTTCTGGATTAGCAGTTAAACAGTTATTTGTCCTCAGTACCATCAGGAGGTTGGTTTTGTAAATATACGTAGAGACGCACGCACGCACATACACACACACACACATATGATTTTAAAAGTTTTTGCAGCCAGGAGAGCTGCTGCACACCTGGGAACCCAAGGGCTCAGTTCTCTCTTGAGTGCTGGAATACGAGTCCCGCTGTCATTGATGGGAGTCATAATGCAAACTGAGGGAAAGGGACCCTACAGCTTCTATGTTTTTGGACTAGTTGTGAAAATTTGAGAGAATCTTGTAGTGAATGTAAAATGTTTAGTTTACTTTGGCAGTCTCTGGTGTGACCTACAGTAAAACAGTCAATGAAATTTAATTAAATAAATTTGATCATAAAATCCTCTGTCTCTTGTCTTAGGTATTAGTATTTGCAGTTTGCTAATGAGCTGGCATTTAGTTTTATTGAACCATACGAGAAGGCTGGAAGTCCTCTAAGGATGCGCTCCAGCGGTTGTGAGCTCAAACCTGTGTTTGAGTGTTAGTAGCGATCAGGGGGTGGCAAGGGCTTGGTGGGAGTTTTGTTTTTGTTTAGGATTTCAAGCTGAGCAGCACATGCTTAGCTGGAACCCTGCAACTACCTAGGGCAGGGAGGTGCTCTGCTTTTGTTGTGTGTTACGACTGCCTACCTCAAGGTGCCAGGCTGACAGTTCTGCAGACGCTGCTGTTCGATGCTCTTGGTCTGCAGTGGCTCTCTGGTCTGTGGCTGTCTTCGTGTTTTAGAGCTGCTGCTAATTCTGCATCTTGCCCATGCAAGGAAAGGATCACCCCGCTGTGCAGAGAGGGCAGGGTGGTGTAAGGAGGAGGCTGCAGCGCTGCCAAGTTGGCATTAGAAAATGGAGCCGTTGGAAGTCACTTTGCCCAGTGCAGAGGCCCATTTCCAAAAGCATGGCTCCTTCAGACTGAAGTAGTGAACAACTGCTCTTGCAGAACACCTGAGGAAGGGGCACGTAAATTTGTGGGTCTCTCAGCAAGGATGCCTGAGAAACCTTTTAAGCTGAGATAAGATCCTATGAGTATAGAATATGTATGTGTGGGGTATGGGGGAACAGTTGGGCAATTACAGGCCCGTTTAGTCTGGTGTCAGTGGTATGCAAAGCTTCAGAATAGACTTCTGGAGAAATAATTAAAAATGGAGTAAGGAATGTAAAATGAACAGAGGCAGCTGCAAGTAGGTTGCACCAGGTGACTGTGTTACGTGCCGGAGCCCTTGGCGGCGGTCCTCAGAAGAAGGAAGAGCTGTTCTGGATGGGGAGAGGTGAAGCCACCCGCAGCAGCAGTGGTGGGGTCCGTACGCAAGAAGGGGGCTGCGGGTGGTGGGTGCCCCCCGAGCAGTGTGCCGCGCTGGCGGTGGCATCCCGCCCCAGCTGGTCCCATCTCTGTCCTCACGGCTCTCACCCAGCGCTGCGAGGGGGGGTTGCGGCTGCCTTTGCTTCCCAGGCTGCGGCTCCCCGGGCCTCTGCGGGGAGGGCAGCGAAGACGGCAGAGGCAGCTGCTGGAGCCCAGAGGGGCTTGTGGAGGAGCTGGCGTTTCTGCCGGACACCGCTGGCCTTTCCTGGCTGTGTCAGTGGTCAGGTGCATCTCTGGTAGGTTAGCTGGCCTCGAGATGAGGAGCAGGAGCTCAGTAATGCTGACGAAAACCATTGTCCCATGGGATGAGAAATTCTAGAAATGGACTGTGGGCTGCTGAAGCTGCTGGATTTCAGAAACCGTTTGTGATTTTTAAAAGTTTTTTTTTAAATATATAGTCATTGTTAGGTAGCACGGGGTCCTCTTGCTCCCCAGTCAAGTCCCAGTAAGTGCTGCAAGAGTGGAGCAAGAAGAGACTTTGTGCTTGGTAAGTACCGGACAAAAGCTTGCCTCTTGGTGCCCCATTGGAAGCTGGATCTGGGCTCCCTCCCTGGCTTCAGCTTTCTCCTGATGGAGCATTCCAGTAACGATCTAGTGTTTATTTTGAGTATTGAAGAATAATCTAATTGCTGGAATGAGGAAGAAGTGATCAGAATTGTGGCATGAAAAATATTCTGTTCAGTCACGTAGCTGGTAAATTACAGAAAGGCTTGAGAGTAATGGCTGCTTATTGCAAGGCATTTTGCAGTTCTTACAACAGTGTAACTTTTTCTCTTGGGTCCCAGTTTTCAGTATTTCCTGACAAAAGATGGCATTAAACTGGCATCTGCGTTGCTGCTTGGAATTGTCTGCAACAAGGCTTTACTCCTGCATTTTTTTCCCCTCTTCTCAGCACTTGTCACATACGAGCTACCACTGACGAGGTAGCTGGCACTGGGTTTATTGCCTGTCCCTGCTGACCGGACATGCTCAGGGTTCGCCCCATGACCACAGAGGCGGCTGCATGGCTTGAGAACGGCCAAGGGACCCCAAGCCCGGCAGGGCAGCTGGAGCAGGAAGGAGCTGCTGTCGCCCCTGAGCGCTGGGACGCACGGTGGATGTGTCTTACGGGATGGTGGAAGTGATTTCCAGTGCTGCGCTAGTCCAGAGAGGTACCAGGGAGGCACCGCATGCCCCTACAGCAGCAGCTGTGAGGGGCGGAGGGTCTGGCGCTGAGGCTCGGTCCGTGCGGGAAGCAGGCTGGCACCTCAGCGGGTGGAGGCTGGCTCGGGTGAAGAGCAGCGGCTGCAGCAAGAAAACAGTTTAGACTACTTGTTTTTCTGCTTTCAGAAGCAAGTATGTCAGCTGGAAGGATGCTTATTTTACCTGGGCAAAAGTCAAAGGCTGCATATTAAATAGGAAGCAGGATGCACGCGCCTCCGTCCCTGTTCTGGCGTTCGGAACCTGCAGCAGGCACTAGCCAAGGGAGATGGAGCCCGTGGAGCCCGTGCCCCGGGGCGAGTCACAGCTGCCCCTCGGCATCTGGGGCGCGGAACTTGCCAAGGGGGTGTTGGTGCGCGTCTGGGCGCTGCCGAGGGCGGCGGAGGGTCTGGCTCCTGCTGCGGGGGCGGGAGGACGGCGGCTGCGT